AGAAAATTCAATAATTTCTTTTTTATAACTTATCAAAAAGCAAAAAAATATTTCAAAGAAACTAAACACGCAGTCATCGTCTATATATAGTATATGGGTCAGAATTTCTCAAGCAAATGGGCAAATTAATTTTTAACAAAAAATTTTTTTTTTCGACATGTAGTATGATGAAAATAAATTTCTACATTTATTAGACTAAACAATTTTTTTTATTATAATTCAAGAGTAAGTTTTTAAAAATTGATAAATCCATAATTTGTTATTTCGAGAATTTTTAACAAAATACATTTCTCACGTAACCAGTTAAAAAATAAATAAATAAGTAATAAATTATTTAGATAAAAATGTTTTTTTTATTTAAGACGTTTTAACTTTAATAATGCACAATTGGAGAATTTTAAGGTTTTTGGTAATTTTTGTTAGCAAAAAAAAAAAAATCTTAAAATTATAAATTATCTTGATTAAACCCAATTGTTTTAATTTAATTTTTTTTTCTTAAATTCAAACACTAATAGGTCGATTAGTAATATTTTTAATTAAATCTGTGTTTATCTTCAATTTTTTGTAAAATGTATTTATCGACTTTTGAAAACTTGCTCTTATTGACAATAAAAAATTTTAGCAGTCTTAAATAATAAAGAAAAAAACGATTATCGAGCTCCAGTTGACCAATTTTAAAAATGATTTTTTTTTTAAATCAAATGTTAAATTTACTTCTGAATAAAATATTTATTTTATTTCTTCTTGCAAATTTAAAAAAAAATAGAATTTTCTGTTACAATATTCTCTTGTGGAATTTTTAAAAAAATGTTTATCCTATCTTCGTTAGTTACTTTATTATTTTTATGTCACAGTGTTTTTTTTTGTTTTTTTTTTGCTTTATAAAGAAGCAAAGTAACCATTTTATCTAATTTCTTCGTTTATAACGTTTTTACGACCTTGTTAAACGTATTTTCGAATTTTTAAATAAGTGACATAAAAAAAAAAATTATTTGGATATTTTTGGAAATCCTTGTGTTTGATTTTAGATATTGATGACTGCAATAAGCCTAAAAAATTTTAGGACAATCCATCAAAGCGTGTTGAAGATAATTTGTACACAAGATTTTGTGACATATACACACACATTTGGCCATTTGTTTAAAACTTCAAATATATGCATTCTAGATAAAAATAAGCCCATATAACCCATTTTTAAAAAAATCAAATATCATATCACGAATATAAACCTTCCTCGGGAGGAGAGAGGAAGCAAAATTTATTTAACCCTTTCGTTCCCAAGATAATCTGAGAACTTCAAAGAAGATAAGTGAAATTGTTCTTACAGTTTTTCGGGTCGCTGATGACGAATTTGAGGTCAGATTTTTCAAATTTTTAAAATTCAAAATGTCGGATACAACATGGCGGACAATTATTTTAAAAGTGATTAAATCCGCTCGAAAATGGCTACTCGGGAGTTTTTGGGGTCGATGATGACGAATCCGGTGTTAGTTTTTGAAAATTCAAAATGGCGGATCCAATATGGCGGACAAATTTTTGAAATTATTAGATTCGCCTGAAATTTGTTACTCGGAGGTTTTCGGGGTCGCTGATTACGAATCTGAAGGCAGATTTTTAAAATTTTCATAAATCAAAATGGCGGATTCAACATGGCGGATAAAATTTAAAAAATTGACCCAATTCGTTTCAAACTCGCTTCTCGAGGGTTTTTGGGTTTTTTTTTAAAATTCGTTCACCATATTGGATCGATCTTTGAATTTTTAGAAATTTCAAAAATCTGACTCCAGATTCATAATTAGTAACCCCAAAAACCCTTGAGAAGCAAGATTAAAACGAATTGGGTCAATTTTTTAAATTTTTTATCCCATGTTGAATTCGCCATTTTGAATTATGAAAATTTTAAAAATCTGCCTTCAGATTCGTAATCAGCGACCCGAAAACCTCCGAGTAACAAATTTCTGGCGAATCTAACATTTTCAAAAATATGTCCGCCATATTGGATCGGACCTTTTTTTATTTTTGTAAATTAACACCGGATTCGTAATCAGCGACCCCAAAAACCCCCGAGTAACGAGTTTCAAGCGAATTGCATTAGATTTTCCAAAAGTCGTCCGCCATATTGGATCCGCCATTTTGAATTTTGAAAAACTAACATTGGATTCGTAATCAGCGACCCCGAAAACCTCCGACCCAGTCGAAAATCGTAAGTTTCCCTGAAGGGTTCACATGGCCTTTAGGTAACTGTTATGAAGGTTTCAAAAGCTTCATGGCAACTATTTATACATTAGACCTAAAATTCTGTGATATTTGCTTTCTGACTTCTTAACGGGAAGCTTTTTCTACAGCTTGTTGAATATCTGTGGACAGCTTCTAGCAAAAGGTCTACCAGTTTGCTTGGTGAATGCTTTCCTAATGCCTGGTTTAATGTGTAAGAAAGCAATTCTATTTGCTTTTCACAAGTTGCAAATTAATATGTAATTTAATTACCTTTTTTACACTTCCTGAAAACTAGAATAATTTCATTAAATTAAACTAAATCGAAAAATCATAAAAATTCTATAGTAATTTGTAAATCCGTTTTATACAATTAATAATTATTCTTTATATATTATATAAAAATTATTTTTCAAAGAAAACGTTTATTTTTAAACACTTAAATTATATACGAAAAAAATTATATATAACTTGAGCAAAATTTGGGGTTAGGAATACGAACACGCTCTCTAAATCTGAATAAGTGAAATTTCACTTAAAATGTGTCAAAAGTCTTCCACGTAGAAAAATAAGTGTATTTGCACTTTTAAATAAGTGGTTTTCACTCAAAAATAAGTGAAGTTTCACTTATTTTTAAGTGCATATACACTTATTTTTCTACGTGGAAGACTTTTGACACATTTTAAGTGAAATTTCACTTATTCAGATTTAGAGAGCGGTGAAAACCTTTTATATTGAATAATGAATACAATTTCTTAAAAAAAGACAAAATATTTAATATTTAAAAAAAAGATTATTATTTTTAAACTTGATATTTATGAATATTTTTTATAAATAATATATTCTTTATTCTTTTAGAATAAATTTAAAAAGACTGTGGAAATACCGAGTCTGACGTAAATAATTTTTCTTTAATTCTTCAATATTTAAATATAATAATCTAATACATCATATTTTTACGAGATAAATAAAGATGGAAAGAAAGGTTATATTTAATTTTTGATCATTGTCATTTTTCCTCTGTTTCCTGAAATATCCATGACGCTTCATTTAATTTTCGCCACCTGAACGCTTTCTTTTTATATATGCAAAATCCTGCAACTCTTTGATAACTCTCTGAAAGCTACTTGAATGCTTTGTTTAAAACGTACAAAATTTGTTATTTTCAAGCTTTCCGTGGAAGCGAAAAATCGGCCATAACAGGCTTCCTGAAAGTTTTCTATAGCTAGTTATCTACTGTCTCACAATTCTCTAATGGTTATCTCAATACTTCAAAACAACTTTTTGTGCAGCTTAACATAGCGTAGGATTTTCAACTGGGGAGTAACAAATTTCAGGCGAATCTGAACGATTTTAAAAATTGGTCATTTTTAATATTTATTTATATATTTTTTTAAACAATAGAAATTTTTAGACATCATCTGGTCTAGAAATTTTGAAAGCACTATTCCTCCTGAAGAAAATGCCTCAAAGCAGACTTAGAAATATTAATTTTGTTCAGAGTTATTGAGGTTTTTGTAGGTGGGACATATACGTCCCATGGGAACGAAAGGGTTAACTACAAAATTCAAAAGCAAAAAGTTCATTTATTTAAAAAGTTTACTAATTCAAATTTAAAGAGTATTTTCACTATATGATTTTTGTAATTATAATTTAAATTTTGAAATGGCGTGTGGATCCTCCATATATATATATATATATATATATATATATATATACTTTTTATATGAAAAATGCCTCTCAGTGTTTGCTTACATACCAACAAAATTTAATGACACAAATTTACAAAATGTTTCTCTTCATTTTTCCATATTTAAAAAAAATAAACACACATCAAAGAGAAAAATAACTCACCCATGTTTGAAGTATGTATTATAAGCATAATTTAAGTTTTCATTAACATTTATCAGAAATTTTTATATTAAAATTTATGAAAACTTTGAAATTCATTTCACATTAAAAGATTATTTTGAAAAACAAATGAAATCTCTCGCATTATTAAATATTTAAAAATGTTCAGAAATTACCATTAAGCTTTATAATTAAATAATGTAATATACTGTGAATAATTTTCTATAATTAAATTTTTCTAAATAGACAAATTTTTCCTTTAACAGATCCAATTTTTACAGTTGAGTATAAATAAATACATATATGTGTGTGCGTGTGTGTTTTTAATATAAGGTTGTTATTAAATTTAATCCGAAATTTCCGGATTGGCGGGTGGCAATATAATATCCGCATGAGTAAAAGAAGAGTAATACAATAAAATTTTTATTGAAGTATAGAAAAAAAGTATGCTGGAGAAATTTTACGATTTCGAAAACATGAGCTTAAAAACTGCTTGATGGGTAATAAAGACTCTTGAATAGATTCGTTATTACTCGTCCTCTATATACCCTGTTATTTTATTCCCGATATATGTGTACGCATAATAATATATATATATATATATATATATATATATATATATATATATATACAAACATATATTCTGAAATGATGTGTATGTTTGAGTGACTATCTCTGGAAGCTATTGGCAATGTATGTAGTTGAAATAAAACAATTTCAAGTGGAAACTTCCAAAAATAACAGCCCTCAGACGCTCTAACTAACATCAGAAAAGTACCTGCCAAAACTCAATTCCAGCTTGGAGCTTTGAAAAGAAGAGAAAAAGAGAGAGATTTTCGACTTTACTCGTTGTACGCTTTTAATTCATTAATCCTCATCACAAATTTTTTTTTTTTTTTTTTTTTTTTACTACAAATAAATATAAAATTACTGACCTTTCTTTCGTCTGGCAATGTTTCTGTAACAGAAAAAATTTCCACATTTTAATAATGAATAAATAACATAAGACAGATTTTTCAAAAATTTTCATTTAATTATTATAAAATTTAAATATCTTAATTTAATTTAAACTATAATATTAAAATATTTTTAATTAAAAATTAAATTTCATTTTACATTGCTGTCCTAATAGAACATAATATATGAATATAAAATGAAATACTTTATACTTTAGAATTTGCATTTGACACATATAATTTCTATATTTAATTTAATTTGAATGAATTTTATAATTTAACTATAAACCCCGTGTATTTTAGAACTAACCAACCAAGATAAAAGATTATAATAATTTGCATATAAAAATATTTTTTTCTTCTATGTCGTTGATGATAAACGTTGTTAACTTCACCAACGTCAACTAATAATAAAAATAATAATAATAATAATAATAAAATAACTATTTTAGAACGAATTTCAAATTTAACAAATATGTAATAGATCATCAAGAAAATAATTATATGATGCATTAATTTTCAAATTCCCTCTAAACTATTTATACCTAAAATTTCTCCATCCAAAATAACAATTTTCAGTTAAATTACAAATTCTGTAATCTATATTAATAAAATCAGACTTTTGTCTGTACATTGCTCCAAATTAATTTTTTCTTGCATAGTTTATCATTTTAAGTAGTAAAGATAACAAATATGCCATAAATAAAAATTCTGTCTGTCTGTCTGTCTATCTATCTGTCTGTCTGTCGTCAATATTTTGTACCGGCACAACTTTAAAACGGCTCAACCGATTAAGGTAAAACTTGGCAGCGTATTCAGTCTTAACGTAACTTAAAATCTTAGCCATATTTGATTAAAAAATATTAACATGAACGAAAGTTATGACATTTTTTCAAAAAATTTAAAAAATCAAAAAAATGCAATTTTTTTATTTTTTGACAGATTGATTTGAAACTATTTGTACCTAATTTTTTCACATAAATACAATCAATTTTTTTATTAAATTAAGTAAATAGTCTGAATTTAAAAGTCTAAATCAAATTTTTGAATTTCCAATTTTTTTAATAACATTGTAATATAAGAATTCGTTATGTTCAACTTTTTATAAGTAAAACAATAATGTTTTTAGTCTGTTGGGTATTAAACGCAATCTTAGCTGCACACCAATGAAAAATATTAATTTAAACAAAAATATGACACTTTCAAAAAATTTAACATTTTTTATTTTTTGATAATTCTTTACTAAACGTTCTTTATTTAAAATTTTGTGACCAATTAAGTATGCTTTTAACAAGAAATTTTAAGAATTTTATCAGAATTTTAAAATTAATAATTGCAAATCTGAATATGAAATCAGATATTGTAAAAATAAAAAATCGAAAATTACTTTTTTACTCTTTGAAATTAGATCCAATTGGATGTAATTATAAATTTCAAAATTTATTAAATCTAAATATTATAACCGTCGAAGACGGGTGCGACAGCTAGTAGAAAATAATATTGTGCTAAAACACTCAATTTCTCAAAAGAAATTTGGTATTCAAATTTTTCAACAAACAAAAATAATCGTATATTTCAGCTAATTTTTAAAAAAGTCTATTTGCGAATTCAGGTGATATTTAAAAATCTCCAATAAAGTTTTGAGAGATTTTTGAGAAACGACGAATAATTTTTCCCTGTGATGTTTGTGACGGGAAAATTTACATGATATTAAAGATTATTGAAAAGCTGCATTCCATTTACATAATGCACATTCATCACATAGAAGCAGATGGATCTTGACGCTGACACGGACATTTTTTTTTTTTTCGTTTACATTCTATACTTTTTTTTCATTCTCTCTTTCTTCAACTCTCTCTTTCTCTGTCTTATATTATTTCGCCTCTCTGAAGCACGTAGAGAGAGAACCTTCACACGAGTGTTAGGAAAAAGATCACCAAACTGTTTTTCAAATAAACAGAAGATCGCGATTGAGTGCCTTCCACTAAATGTTCAACCTAAAGAAAATAAATTCCCATCTGGTTTAAAAGTATATTGCTTTATTATGTGACACGTTGATAATAAATTTTATTAAATGTTTCATTATAATTTAGACATAAATTTTATTAACGTCTAAATAATAACAGTTCACAATTTATTAGCTTCAATAAATAAACAAATAGAATATAAAAAAATAATCTTCAATTTTACTTCTACTACTACCTATTATAATGAAGTGTATTTTCAAAATACAATTTTGCAAGAAAAAAAAGAATTTGCAAAAAAAAAATTGGATTTTTTCTCAATGAGCAAAATTAGTGTCAACATAAATTTCATATAAAAATCGAATTTCTGCTGACTGAAGGAAAAAGAATTTTATCCTATTTAGTTTATTTTGCTTCAATATTGAGACCAACCGAGAATTTCTCCCTGACTGATAAAATTGTCTCTATTATTGATTTTTGTTTATATCTTGTTATATTAGATTTATTGGAAGGAAAAAAAATTATGTCACAGCTTAAAATCAAAATAAATATACATATATATTTTTAGAGGAAAATTTTCAAATTAAATTTTACTGAATATGACATTTTTTTTTTGTTATTCTATATTATAGAGGAATTATTATAAATTCCATAATACTTTTTTAAATCTTAATTAAAAAAAAAAAAAAAATATTCCCTCAAGTTAAATAAACATTACTATACACTCAGAAAAAAATTTAAATGGGAAGAATTAAATTTTGGTTGAATCAAGCAAATAAATTATAAATAACAATTAACAAAAAGTTTTATTTGGCTCAATCAAATTCTTCGTTGTGTTTTAATACAAAAAAGTGGTATATTTAGTTCAAATAAAACTTTTCTCTGAGTGGACATAATAATAACTTATTGGATTTATTATTTATTTATTTTGCTTCCTTGTGGAGGAAGCTTTGTAGTCCTTTCGTTTATAAAACTTTTCAAAGTGTCAGAAACAAATTTTTTTTTTATAAAAACATGTTATATGAGATTTTGATCAATTGTCCGGATGTATGTATGTGTGTGTGTGGATCCCTTTTTTGTTTAGAAGATAACTTTAACAGGTTTTAATAGATTTAGATAAACTTTGGTAGGCTCATTTATCATATTAATATCTCAAATCTGACTAAAGGATTTTGAAAAATATCAAAAAAAAAATTTTATCGTCTTTTTTCCAAAATTTTTTTTTTAATCGAAAAAATTTTTTAATAGAAAAATTTAAGGTTAGGGTAAAAGGTACAGTGACCGACACCCAGACAGTGAACGACACCTGCACGATGTAGTATAAGGAGACCCCACTGCTATATTAAGCCCTCGAAAAGTTGAAGCTGATTTCCCCGTTTCTCTTACAATTAACGGAGGTGTCGAACCTATCGGAAAATTTGGGAACTAGTTACCCACACTGACAGAAAATGTGTACATACAGTTACTAACACATAGAACTTTCTCAAAATGGCTGCCGTGACATAACCTGCATAAACTGATTGTTTTTTATATCGGTTTGTTTTTTTATGGTTTTTGAAAATAATTTAAAGGAAAGTAAGGAAATATGATTAGTGGTTCCATTAAAGGTTGCAAAACAAATTGTGTTAAAGGCAATACAAAATATAAATCTATTTATAAAACTATTTTCAAAGAAATCCAAATAATAATAATGAGTTTCATTTTAAATATAAATCTTATTAAAGTATATTTTTATCACAACCATAATTAAAATAAAATTTAAACAGTTTAATAATTTATATTCACTTGCAGTTACTATTTTTACTTCGTTACTGTGTTTTTACACAACATAAATAATTATATCATGTTTATATCCATGGAGATTCTCCATGTTTACATCGCTCATGTCACTTTTAGCAGACGAAATTTCGGAGGTATCAAATTTTCCCCTTAGGGTTCGACACCTCTGTTAATTGTAAGAGAAACGGGGAAAACGGCTTCAGCTTTCCCGGACAGTGGGGTCTCCTTATACTACTTCGTGGACACCTGCTATTAAAAACGATAATAACTATAAAAATAATAATATTTAATTAAATATCACTAGTAAATTAATTAATATACAATATTTAAAAACTTATACAGTTTATACAAAATTTTATATGTTTATATTTTCCTCAATATTTAATACTTTCTAGAAAACTAACCTCAAAAAATTTGCTTTATTGATTACAAATATAAATATGAAAAAATTGTTAAATAATTATATTTTAAAAGCAACTTTTTTTGTACATTAAGTCTGAATAATAAAATTTATGATAATACTAATAAATATCATGTTACTTAAATAGAAGTTTAAATATTTTTTATTTTATTAAAGGGTGTCGTTCACTGTTTTCATACCATACATTTTTAAATTAATATTATAAACTCTTATCAAGGTGTTTTTTAATTTTAAACTTGTGTACTATAAATTTTAACCCAAATCTTTTATTTAAAATTTATTTTATAACTAAATCTTTAATAAATTACGATAAAATGTCATTTAAAGTTGAAAGTATGCCCAGGGTGTCGGTCTCTGTACCCCTTACCCTATATATATATAATAAAATCGTATTCCTTACGTCAAGACGAATCGATCGATATATATATATATATATACGGAAAGAAATTTAGTAGCAATATTTGATAAATCTGATAGGAAATTTTAGTATTCTCTTTTTCAAACGCGGAACATTTGGGTTTGATAACGAAAATCGGTATATTTTTACCAATAGTCTTTTTAGTAAATATATTCCAGAAATTGAAATTATTATTTCGTAAATTGATAAATTTATACGAAAAACCAGAAGTAAGTTAAATCGACGCGCACTTCGTTATTTACTAAATTTATATGAAAATTTGGAAAGATTATTTCGAAATTTGTTAAAACTATACTAAAAATTCGAAGTGGTTCAGTCGTGACAGATGACGACAGAAACACCAACAGATTCTACGCCAAAGTTTTATCTCTTTCTCATCTCGAGGATAGACGAGGATATGAACTTTTAAATGCACACACA